CATTACTRTGTGACAGCAGTAGTCCTTCTGAAATAAGTTACTGGCCTCCTCTTAATTCCTGGCACAGATGTGACCACATCAAGCTTTCTTTACAGCTAGTCCCTGTGACAGGATACAGACACCACAAAACACATTAGTCAGTGAATTATATTGCCATTGTTAAATTGGCACAGACAAGTGTTTCTACGTCCCATTAAGCAACAGGGAGGGGAAAAAAAATGTGGAAAAACATTAAATATTGAATAAAATAAAAACAAAGACCAAGTAGTTTAGCCTGTAATAAACCAGTCCAGAGCCTTTGACTGCCTTATAGGCAAAGGACCTCCTTCACTGAAAGGAAGCTTTTTAATCCATCGCTACATAAGAATTGTCCAAAAAAGTAACATTCTAATAGCAAATACCCAGCAAACCTRTAATCCCTGGCAAGTTTTAAAATTGCCTATATAGACGATTTGCAGTTATTTAGATGCTAAAAGGACTGTAAATAATATTTATAATATTTTAGTTTCATATATATAAAATCAGACTAAATCTAATAGTTGATTGTTGCACTGACTGACTTTAAGGAGCTGTAGTGAGGAAGCCATTATTTTGCACAAATATAATTCTCAAGTAAACCATCCTAYAGAAAATGGATTGCTAATCACCTTTCATAGGCAAGTAGATAAGAGTAACAGAATAGCTAAAGCTGGACTGTAATAAAACACTTGATACCACATCTCTCAGAAGTTTTACTTGAAAAGTTAAATGAATTCAAATTGGCTTTCACTGAAGCGTAAAACTATGAATTGAAGAGCGATGAAGAGCTATTAACCAAGCTGGATCACTAGATTTGTTGCATCAGATCCAAAATAAAGTTTTGTGGGCTACTTTTGGGAAACACGTAACACCTGTTTTTATTCACCAGCTTCATTCCAAAAACACCTAGGGCAATAGTATTCTGTTAAGTACATCTGTCACCTATCAACCCCATCTTAGAAAACAAAGAATTAGCTTGATTAGGRTATTTCCCAGACTAGAGAAGCCTGGGAATCTCCCACAGCTTTCTCCCATGACATTTTAGCTCTCCTCATGGCTGAAGAGGTGAAATTCTACTGCTTACATCTCAAAGCCTTCATTTTCTCCTTGGTAGTATGATGGGTTTTTTAATTAAAATGGAGTCATAAGGGCTGTAAAGGCAACTGTCAAGTGCAAGGCATTATGTGAAAGCAAGCAACCATTGCTCCAAGCTCAGCCTCTCATCCACAGAATGACCTCAAGTCATGCCTGTACCTAGGAATAATGGTACTGATCTTTGCTGATGTTTTGGTGAGCTACTGATGGGAAGGGATGCATATGATTACCATTTCTCAAGCAAAAGGGATGCATTCATTGCAAAAGGCATTAGAGATTATATATAATTTATGTAATTCTGACCACAAAGCTAAGACACTTTGCTTGATGACATCAAAATATTACCTTGTGATAGTCCTGCCTTCTACAGGATTGAGAAAAACACATGGTCAATTAGAACTACCTTTCGCAATGTTTTTCAGAGAGATTCCATCAGGAGACAGGAAAGAGTTACAAGTCCAAATACAGTCTTAACTCCCTTCAATGACATTCTCAACAGAATAGGTACATAAATTACTCTGATATCTAGGTGTTTCCATAGCTGACATTCAAAGAAAGCCAGGAACAAGCTTTTTTTTTTCCCGCAGAAATATTGCAAATACATAGGTTCTAAAACAGTACACAGTTAAAGAACATCATAATTATTGATAGAGGAAAACATCACATATGGAATATGGAATGTGGAATATTTATGTATATTTATGGGTGGTCTAAATGACCAAGAGTTGGAATTTGAGAGGTGAGAATAGGGAAGAGTTGAGGTTAAACATTAGGCAAGCAGAATTGAGGTCTAATTTGGAATTTTGGAATAAATTTTGGAATAAATATTTAGAAGTTGCAAAAGATGTAAAAGGGTATAAGGTGGCTGGAGAATTGAAGGAGGCAATATTTCCATGATGTACAGAAGGTACAGTGGATGATCACATTTTTAAAGTCTCCCACTGATCCAAAAAGCATATCTTTGTATAGCAGAGATAATTATTTATCTAAAAAGCATCAATATGTAAAATATACATTTGGCAATTCATCAACTTCAGATGGATGAAATATGTCTGCTTCTCTGCCATTAGAGCTGCACTAACATGTTCAAGAAACAGACTTGTGACAAGTCAGTGGTGGCTATCTGGACATCTTTGGAAATTACAAAGAAGGAAATAGTAGAGATTATTTTATTAAGTTGTATTGTCTAATCATAGTTCTCCATGATTAGTCAAAAGTAAAGCACTGGAAATAACGTATATTAATGTTGTGGTTTTAAGTCACCCTTGAAAAATATCAATTATGATTAAAAAAAGAACAAGGTTGATGGTTCTGGAGAGAGACAAAAACATCTGGCAGTTATGGACTGATGCATCAAAAATGACCACATTTGTCAAGATCTAATGAAGTTCAAAATACTTCCTAAATGTGGTATAAAGCCCCCACATTTCCCACCTGTGATATAAATGTGGTATAAAGCCCCCACATTTCCCACATGTGGAAGTGTGTGCGTGCAATCTCCAAAAATGCTTCCAGCTACCCTTCCACCAGAAAGTACTTTTTCTTCAAAGGTCCAACTTCTAAAATTACCAGGGAAAACTTAAAGCCAAAAAAACTTTAAGGTCAAAAAGGTCAAGTAATTTGTTGCCAAGTATCCTTTCATGCATGTTACTCAGGTTTCACTGAAGGCACAAGTTCAGGCATTTTAGCTCTGTCTTATAATCTATGATGATTGACTTGAACCTTTAGCATCATTTAGCTATCCAGAATCATACAAAAGCATGTGTACTATAGACTCCTCTGATACAAGGAAAAGAAATACCGAAAAATAAGTGTTTAACTTAGAGATTAAGTATGAATGGAAAACCAACAAAAGAAATGGAAGCCTCACCATTCAAATTGTCATGGAAAATTAGAACAAATCCAGAACAGTATGCGTTTTGTGTGATGTATGATAAGCTATGAGCAGTGGATATTTCGACTCTTAGCAAGCAAAGCTGTGTTTATAAATGCAAAATGTTTTGTAACATTGCTAAACCTCAAGCACATTGCTTTCTGTAGGCACCCAAGGTTCAAGGGCTCAAATGGAAGTCTCTAGTAGCTTTTTCTCTCCTGTCTACAGAACAGTCTATCCACGGTGAGCAGTAACCCTGAACTTCTGATGYGAGTCAACAGGCGTCATTTTTCACTCAAATCAGTCTGTTAAGATTCTTTGTGGAATAGCCATACGTAAGGAATAACGTATTGGGTTGATAGTAAATGGCAAGAGTTACAAAAGCTTAGAAAGGAAGGAAAGGAAGAAAGCTTTTACTTTCCTTCTTTTTTTTTTTTTTTTTTTTTTTTTTTTTTTTTGAGATAGGAAATAGAGATGTTCAACTTCTGATTTATACTGGAATATGATGAAGGGAACTTCTGGCCGGGTTCCAGATGAATTACCCGTAGAGCGCTGTGTGCAGCGATGCGCTCTGCTACAGACAGGCAATCAGAGGTTATCGTGGTACAGGGAATCAACAAGTGCACTGCTCCTCTACTCAGCATTGCAAACGTGAAGTAAAACGCATTTGCTTAATCAGGAGGATGGATAGAAACAACTGTTTGCTTAACAAAGATTTATGTTTTTCAAAAGCTAAACTAGATCAGACATTCTTATTCTACCTACAAAAAGAGATAAGGAAAGGAAAAAAAGCTTCTATCTCCACAGGAGAGAGAATTGCCTTGCTCAGGTTGGCAGCCAAAGCACCTAATATTTGCTCTGGGAGGCAAAACCCAAGGCAGGGTGCTTACATATTATGTATCTCCTACTCTTCCTGATCATGTGGAGTAGCTCTTTAATAAGAGTRTGCTTTGCATGCAAAGGCAATCACCTCATTATTTCAGAATTCCCTTATAAGCAATTAATAGCAGCCTTTGTACCTGCRTTGTGCAGTGCCTCTGTGGGTGTACTAGTTAGGCTAGTTGGTCAAACGCTCAGCACTTGGAGAAGGTTCAGGCACTGCACTGAAGGAATCAGTTTTACTTCCTGATACCCTGTTAATGGATGTGGTCATTAAAAGCCTTTCTTGACTATCTGCTGCAGTTAAATTACAGAATGCTATGACACAGAAAATACATCATGTTTAGAAAGTCACCTAAACACAGATAGAAACTCTGTCCAGAATATGTAATATTGATCCTTTGATCAGATAGTCTCAACTTTGGGCCTAACCATGAAGATTCAATAAATTCTGACCAGCAACCAKAGGATGACGGATCTTAAACATCAGTTTCTAAAATAAAGTTACATTACTAATGTCAAGTATTAAATATAGCCTATTTTTCAAGCTTCATGAGGTAATATAGCACAGAAGCAGGCTGAAGAAATTTGAATATTGAATATATTAGGTGAATATAAAGCTGATGAACTTTAAGAGGGAGAGCTTTAAAAGGCACAAATGGCAGTTAACTTCCAATTATGCCTTGGAAAATGTCCCACTAATGGCTAATATAGCTGATTTATTTTCATAAACTTTAATTACCTTGTACTGTTTCTTACTGAACAAGATTATCAGTTCAACAGAGCATTTCAAAAATGACTCGAACTAAAAAGAATTTGATTCTCCTTTTAGTTTCTCCAAGTCCAGGTTTACACACGCAAATTTATCAGTTTACYATTGTCTGGACATAGAAATATTAACACACAACACACCTTTTAGAAACTATTTACAAAATATATACTAATTTACATTAAATTACCTTTTAACTAGAAGAGATTTTACCTATCTTTAGATCATAGATTATTTGGGAAAAGGACCACATGTTTTGCTTTTCAATATTGTTTGCTCTGTCATAAAGGCAGATTTCAGATATTTCAGTAAGACATGCAATAGTGACAGTGAAGACCTAGCTCATCAAGTGTCTTATTTTGACAGCTCATAAAGCTCATAAAGCCCGGGAGATCCAGCAGGACCACACTGTGAAGGAAAAATATGCAGTTTTAGATCTGCTTGCCTGCTATTCCCTTCTGTTGCAGAAGTGGATGGAGAAATTCAGTAAGTATTCTGTGTGCTAAGAAAAAAACAGATTTTTTTAGAGCAGATATCATGTTTTGGTGTAAGAGTCTTAAGGTGTTTTGCACGTGGCGCAGCCTCAGAGCCCCTGCAGCCCCCACTGCCCACAGGGCTCTTTGCTCCTTGAATTGACAGGGCTGTAATAGGTGATGCCTGACAAAAGCAAGAACATATTGCCCTCTAGTGCTGAAAAAAAAAGTAGAGGCTGCAAAGCCCAAGATGAGGGAGATAATTATTATTTCAATTTTTCTGCATCTCTTAGGCTGACACAAGTGAGACTTATTGCAGTTTGTTGTTTTGTGGGCAGAAGGTACATGCAGCAAGGCCATCCTCTCCCTCCTCCCCGTCCCTGCAAGACATTCTTGCCATCCAATAAGCCCTTGTCATTCAGTGAAACTAAAGCATGGCCTTATAGAGRGTGCTTCACTTGATCCAATTTTATCTTTTTATAAAATCTTAATTGGAGTTTTAATAAGCAGTGAGCTCCTGACAGGCACAGCGAACCACAGAACAAGGGAAGCATTAAAAGGGGGAAAAAAATACCCTTGCAATTATCGGGATGATTTATTTTCATAATGGCAGCTGTATTTCTTGTATATTTCTCCTACCATGCATAACGATCTGCCACATTTAGTAGTATCTTCTTGTGCCGTATTTCTGTCCACGTGTAAAACACCCATCTCACTCCTCTTTCTTTCACTAATTGTCACATCACACACAGCAGGGTCACCAATAGCATAGCCTTCAAAACAAGGGTATGAATCTCACAGCAAGGTGCTGACCCAAGAAGGTACTGCAGATAAAAGCCATGTCCTAGCAAAGTCACCAACAGTCACAGAAATGACTCCCTCTAATAGCGAGGCAAGGAAGAAAACCTCATGAGCAAGTAGACCTGTTACTTCCAAATTACTTTGGCGTGTTGGTCATTGTTTGCTAAGCTCCCAAAAACAGTGTAGCTTTCTACTATCTGATGCTATGAGCAGGACAGGGTTTAAAGTGTTTAAAAAAAAAAACGAAACTTTTCACTTGCATTCTTTTAAATGCTGAAAAGAAACAGTTAAGAGAGTCCTTACAAAGCATACAAGAATTATAAGATATACTAGCTAGAGATAGATTTCCTGAACATCTTTCTTACACAGAATTGCCCCCCAGCCCCAGTTTTAGTTACAGAGCTTAAAAATGATTCAGCAAACCATAATCTGGGTTAACGGAGGAACAATTTTGGCTTTGAAAGAGTACTTGTTTTAAGCAGTACAAAAATCATCCATTGTTTACAATCACACATAGTTCCAGGAGGTAAACAATATAAATAATTCAGGAAGATGTTAATTCCCACTTAAATCCATAGAGCGGCATGGGCTATTTGTTTMGTTTTAATTGCCTCCAACTCCTATGGTTCTTTGTAATGACAATTCCTCAMAGATTTAGGCAGCACTACCTGGAACTGCACAAATCATGATAGAGGGAAGAGGCTGAAGTCACTGTATTTAACCAAGAGGTGCAGTGGGCACCGGTGCCACACTAAATTCCTCTGCTGTTCAGCAACATTCACATCCATGCATTCCCCAGCTCATGCTAATGAGAGGTACACTGCAGTTTTGATGCCATACTCATTCATTTCACATTCTCACTTGTTTTAATCATTCAAGAAGGTACTTAAATGGAATATAGACGCTGATGAAATCAGTAACAAAATAGAAACCTGAGAGAAGGCCTTCTGTGTCTTTCACTTTACCTTGATTAGATTCACAGTTTAAAACAGAATATTAACACTTTCAGAACATTTACCACAAAAATATGAGTTTGACATAAAGCTTTCTGCAATATTTAACCAGGTTTTGTACTAATTCCAACTCCAATGTCCTCCAACTTTTAGTCATTTCTGTTTGCAATAGCAATGTGCAAAGGGGCAGCAATAGGAAAAATATTATTGTCCTCAAAAACTGTTTTTGTACTGAAACAACATGAAAGACCTTTTTTAATTTATGGCTTAATATATCAAGCAAGCAAGCCACAATGAGCGCTCCCYGAGCTATTCATAAACTCCACCTTAGCTCAGATTACTAACATTAGTTACTGTCTTAATTAACATGTGTTTTATTTTCTTTACAAATTTATTTTTAATTTACTCTTTTTCTTGCCTGTTACTGCAGATAATGCTAGGGGTCCTCCTCACTGGCTATTGGCAACTGCTGCATTCTGAGAAAGTCTCTTTCAATTTAGCTTTCCAGATCCTTTGGCTTCCACCTCCCACAACTTTATAACCTCCTCAAGAGTTTCATAAATGCACTGCAATGGTCACATGAAGAGCTCTGTGGGGCAATCAGCACCTTGGCGTCTCMTAGTTACTATGGCACTTTAGGAAGAGAGACACCAAAAAGCAGCAAGTCCGACAGCAGTTGAGAGCCTGGCAAAACATGAATCTTACGGTGAGACTTCGCCGTAGTTTCAGAACCCTCGTAATCCTCCTGGCTACGTTCTGCCTGGCAAGCATTGCTATCTCTGCCTACTACCTGTACACGGGCTACAAGCAGCAAATGGCCCTTGTGGAAACCACTGGAGAAGCCGAATGTGAAGATCTTAAACTTTTACCATACAGATYCGTGGAGCTGAAAACTGCTAAGCCAATTGACCCATCTAAAACTGACCCCACTGTCCTTTTGTTTGTAGAAAGCCAGTATTCMCAGCTGGGGCAAGACATCATAGCTATCCTCGAGTCCAGCCGTTTTCCCTACCACATGGTCATTGCGCCTTCCAAGGGGGATATTCCCCCTCTCACAGAGGGTGGGAAAGGAAAATATACAATTGTTATATACGAGAATATTTTAAAATATGTGTCCATGGACTCATGGAATAGAGAGCTTCTAGAAAAATACTGTGTGGAATACAGTGTTAGCATAATTGGTTTTCATAAAGCCAATGAGAACAGCTCACCAACGACAAAATTAAAAGGACTTCCGTTACATCTTTACAATAACATAGCCCTAAAAGACTGTTTTATAAATCCTCAGTCTCCACTACTGCGCATTACCAAAGCACCAAGGGTCGAGAAAGGTCCCCTGCCTGATGAAGACTGGACAGTTTTCCACTTCAACCATTCCACCTACCAACCTATCCTTTTAGCAGAACTGCAAACTTCCAGACCATTGCCAGCAGTATTGCCAAAGGCTGCTCTATATGCAACAGTCATTCAGGACCTGGGCCTTCACGATGGGATTCAGAGAGTCCTTTTTGGAAACAACTTGACCTTCTGGTTGCACAAGCTGATCTTTATTGATGCCATCTCCTTCCTGTCTGGAAAAAAGCTCACACTGTCCTTGGATAGGTACATCCTTGTGGACATAGACGACATCTTCGTTGGGAAGGAGGGAACAAGGATGAATGTCAACGATGTGAAGGTAGGGCAAGAATTGGGGATGTCATTGCAAATACAAGCATGTACAAAGTGGTCATAGAGAGACAAAGTGCAGAGACCTGCTGGCTCTCATTTCCTAGTAAATGCTGCAAAGATGCTGATTTAACTGCAAGATACAGAAATGTTAATCTGAAGTTCCTTTAGAAAGCTGTTGTGCATACATACACTGAAGCATTTAACATGGGTGTGTACACAAATACACAGGGGTGATCTTACACAGTAAGGCATGTAATGAATGTACTGACTGCCTCCTCCCCAAGTAAGTTATTTTTTTCCAATATGTTTATAAGTTTTAAAAAAAGTAAAAAAAAAAAAATCTATTTGACTTTTGATGTGATGAATGCACAGCCTTATTTTTCAGCCAATTACAACAGGTAACTCTGTAGAGTGTTCACAGACTAATGTTTGGGGGCTCTTTTAGACTTTTTTTCCCCCCATCAACTCCATTGTTCCGAGACTCCAGCATATTTGTTGAAATTAATTCTTAAAAGTGCCCTTAGATGTAGAGGCTTAAAATGATAAAGAGGTAGAACTCAACAGCCTGACAGTTATTTCCTTGCAATTTTCCACATGTGTGAAAATTATCATATTCAGAGATTAATTGAAAGTTCCTAAGCATGCAACATTACATTCTCTAGCAATTACTCTGAATTTTCTTTTCTTGTAAATACCTCAGTGTTTTCAAGAGCAATAAGCAATCTCTATTTCTAAACCTAGTTTTCTATTTTTTTAATTCTTAATAGTCCTTAATTCTTATTTCTACGACTTCTATATTTGCCCATCAGTCAGGATCACTAAAAAGTATTGAAATACCCCCAACCAGTAGTCTCATACATTATTGAAACCATTTTGCAGATCAGAGAATTCCAGGTAATTCTATTAGCCAAGCGAGGCGTATGAATGCTCATCAAGCTGTACTCTAGCACTAAGGCGCTTTTAGTGCCTGCATTAGCTACTCCTGGTGCCTTGAGATCCGAGCATGCACAAGCTCAATGATTAAGTGCTCTCGGTTCTTAATTATACAAGGAGTTTGTCTATACGGGCAAAGCAACTGAAAAAGCTATTACAAAGGTTTTTCAGCAATAGCTTTTTGTATGCACGTTTTTGATAGTATCTTTTTATGATTTAGTTTCTTCCACTAAGGAGTGAAGTCTATTATTCTACATTGGTTAAAGGGTTCCTATTCCTAGGATAAGGCAGTCCACATTCAGATCATACCTATGACTGGAATAATTTCCCAGGCAGAAGAGCCCCAGTCATTTCCTTTATGATTCAGCAATAAACATGACTAGACAAACCCGTACAGTAGGCTTGGCAGATGGAGGAGGATGCAGGAGATAGAGGAGATGCATCAGGAAACTGCAGGTTGAGAAACTTAGGTAGGAGCTGGATGACAAAACCCAGCTATTAAAGTCATTCAGCATCTGTTCTGTATGCAGCACACATTCACCTGTCTCAAAGAAATGAGCCTAACATACCACTGAAGACCTTAATAAAACAGAAAACATCTGCACTGCTTCACTTTTCTAAAGAATCGGTGGTGAATCTATTCAAACATAATCCATAAAACAAAAAGGTTTGAAGGGATGCCAAAATTCTTCCCACGTTTCTCAGATCCTAAAGGAATAGCCCACTTTGTATATCCACTATAAATAGTGTCTGTAAAAGTAAGACTTGGCTGTGGACCTTAAGTGAGAAACTGCAGCAAACATCGAACACAGGGGAAACCTGCCACAGACAAAGGATGGGACATGACATTCCCATCAGGGAACTTCCATTCTGTGTATTCCAGTAGGGGGAAAAAAGTTAGTCTCCCTTGCATAGATGACATTCACGTGCAAAGCCATTTTGCTACATTTCTATCCAGGGCTATTCATTTCTTAACGGTTTTCATTTAAAGAAAAAAAGAAAAGAAAAAGTACTTTTTATTTCAAACCCATTTCCAGATATGGATTTGTTTCTCAGGGTGTTTTAGAAGTACTTGCTATGCAAATCAGCCCTTCTTATCGTCTGGATATTCCTAGGATACATTAATATTCAAAACCAGGATGCTTGTTAATGAATATAACAACCAAATCAGAGTGTACTTCAGTTAGTTTACAGTAAAGGATAATTACAGTGAGTTAGAGAACAGTCTCTCTAATCCCTTGGGGAAGGAGGCAATTAAGAACGAGTGGGGCTAGCTTTGCCTAAAGGCAGAGCAGCCACCCCAGGTGAGCGGCTAAATATCACACAGAGACAATATTTAAGAAGCTAAAGCTTTCTTAAGAGAAGTCCAAGTATTGGCATGCATTGCAAATCCCTTCGGAGGGCTCTGTGTTTTCATAGCGGGAGAGAGTCCACTTCAGGCACGCTGAGATCTAGGGGCACTTACCCCACACGTGTATTATAAGGGCACAAGTGTGAACAGCTCCAGCAGCAAAAGAGACTCTGTAAGCTGTTTTACAAGAATCATCCAGAGTTTGGATCATTTACCTTCTTTCCTGAAGTGCTTACTGTGTTCGTATCTAACACTTAAAAACAAAATCCTCATTTACAACAGCACACATTTTAAAACTCATTTCATCTTGCTTCCTGAACTGTATATTTACAAACAAACAAAAAAAGAATCAGCATCCCCATCATAAAAGGGATGCTATTTGTCATTCATAGTTTCCAATGCTTTCCACAAAAAGAGATTGTAAAAAAAAAAAAAAAAAAAGTTTGCCTTGTGCCACACTGCAATTATCCACTTCTTCAATTCATAATATTTGTTGTTATACCCACTGTAGATTCACTTTTCATAAGTCTGTGAATGTCTCTGTGAAGGCCTTTAAAGGTGCTGAGCACAGCTACCACCAAGCACGGCAAATTCCAGGTGCACACAGAAAGCTGCAGATGAGCAGCTATCCATTTCCAAAACTACGTTAAAAGTCTAACTAAATAATATAATTTTGCCAAACCAGTAGGGGATTTTCCCTCAGTGACCACGAGCACTATAACTGCAAGTTAGAAGAACGTACCACAAAAATGAGTTTTCTGATAACATTTTCACGTAATAAGAAAGCGAGTATCGGTGCTCCTGTGTAATTACTTCCTGCAACTTACATGTTTTTATCCCCTCACCAACCCTTTTCTCAATTAAGTCCTCCAAGGATATATATAATTTTATAAAGGGTGCCATCAACTAGAGAAATAGAAATTAAAGAAGAGAGTTATTATGGTCTGTGTTTACAACAAAAGATCTCTCAGTCCCTTGTATTACAGTAGTTGTGCAAGGTCATACCTGGCTAAGTAATTAAACAGGAACTCGGCTGAGCCACAGAAAGCTATTTTCCCTGGCTTTACGGAGATCTATCTTGAGCCCAGCGAGCTCCTGCAGATGAATTTCTTCCTTTCCCTCCTCCCAGCACTTTATCTCACCGCTTGATTTTAGAAGGCAAAAGACTCAAGAGTTCATCAGTTAGTTTGCAGAATTRCTGAATTCCCATGCTTGCAAATTACATTAGTTCTGGCCACACAGCAGGCCCAAGACCACTGGCATCAGTGATCCAGGGAAAGTAGCTAGGGACATGCATCCGGTTGTCCCCTGTCTCAGATTATTGCATAAAAAGGATACCGATCTTTTGTCTTTAAGAGRTTTTTCAAAGCATGCTCAAACTGAGATGCTGCCAATCAACATCACTCAAAAATGTAACAGGAGCTTGCTGAAATATTCTTTTTTGCTGCTGCCCTTGCAGCAGGAGCATGTAGAAGGGTATTTACTCACCCAGGAAGAATCTCATGAGGTGACCACGACTTCCTCAGCAGCTTTCACGACAACTTTGTCTCCTGCCTTCACTATTAACTCAAAACACACAAAAAAAAATGGTGGAGGGAAAAAAAGTTAATAAGAAAATGCTCAAGCAGCCTCAACTTTTCCCAGCTTCTTCTCCTCTGCTGCCARGCCCTACAGTGCACAGCAGGGCCCTCTCTATAGGCTTCCTTCAGGTGGGTTCTCTCACAAGTCACCCACTCTCCTCCCGGGCCTGACTTCCCCAGTTGAAACCAATAATCAAGGAGAGGTCRCTGCCTCGTGTCACAAAACTCGTTGCTCTGAAAGCTGTGCTTTTCTTTTCTAGAGCTTCCTTAGTGCCTGCGTTGGCCACGGTGGCTCCTGTCCTAGCACCCCTATTCCTGCCTGTCCTCCTGCACTCAGCATCAGGCCGCTTATTTCAGCAGGAAAGAAACTGCATTAGTCTCTGAAACCTCCTCACTTCCACACGTCTGTGCTTTGTCTTTGACCTTCGCCATCATTAAAATTAAGTGTCCATTTAAAGGGTGTGATTTCGTGATCATTTTAGTATTTTCAAGGCAAGAATTCATGCTGGAACCGCCGCTTCTCTGATAATTCCGAGTTAAGGAGCACTGGCTCCACAGGGGGCTGCCCACGCTGAGCGGAGCTCTCCAGCATATGCTGTTTTGATCTTTATGCAAGGAGAAATGCTTTCAGGTGGGATAATTAAGGCTGTCTGGGCCACTTTACTGTCCAGGGCAGAACAAAACTCTGTACAATGGTGCAGGTGGGAAAGGAATACCTGAAACCCTCCGTGTTGCTGCTGTGTGTAACTCTCCATGCAACTAAACAACTTTTTATAGCAAGGAGTTTGGTGAACTGTGGGAGTAATGTTCATTTGTACTTCACTACTGCTTGTATCTCTTCCCTCTTCTGTCATTTGAATTTACGGTAAAGATCTGTAGCCTGGCATGTGGACCAAGAAGCTCTATTTATTGATGGACAAAAACATATTTCTGCATCTCTCAGCAGAATTTGGCATGCAATACCACAGAATATGACATATTTTATGTAGAAATTTGAAAGCAACAATCAAGACCAGAGACAACAGTCCAGGAGGATTGAAATAGGTGCTTTAATTGTAACTTAGGTTTCTAAAAGGGTTTTCTGGATATTTGCCTCTTCTCTACTCTTCTGTACTTGTATGCAACATTAGAGAAGATTATGRGGGTAGTTACAGCAATCTAACATCTACATATCCAGCTACTTAGTTCCCAATGTACAAAGTACCAGACCCCAAAATCCCCAGTGTTTCAACAAGAATTACAACTGGTTCTACAAGCAGGAAATAGAAATATTTTTTTCTTTATTGTTAATTTACCTGCAGTTTTCCTTCAACAGGATTAGAAAATAATTACTTCTTTCTTGATCACGAGATACGAAAGTCATGCCTGTAACTTTTTTGTTATAATCAACTCCAGCCAATAAAGTAACCACATCAGGGGTTAGAGATGGCTCACAGTATAGAGAGCGATTAAAAATAGAAGATATGAGAGCATAGAAAGTCAGACAGGCTACCAAGCATTAATAATTATAGTTAAGTGTTACCTCTACGTCATCTTTTAACCACTTAAAAATGGCAGTGAAGAACACGATTAACAGGTATTCAGGAGTTCCAAAAGACTTTAGAAGTGAATTTAGAAAGCAGATGAGAACGCATTATAAGAAAAACACAATAATCAGGCAATCTTCTTTCTAAATAGGACTGTCCACTCCATTCTCTTTCAGAAGAGCTAATAGATCTTTCAGTATTTTCCCTGTTTTGGTTTTTTGAATCACCCACTTCATTCTGCAATAATTTGAGTACTGCATACTGTTCTAAGTGTCTTGAGTGAATACACCACACAGGATGTTCCATACTTTTTTTCATGTTGTTTCATCAAAGCCTACTCTTTGATTCAGAATTTCAATACTGGTTTAGTTAAAAAAATACCATTCTTTTGCCATCAGCAAAATGTTTAGCTTCCTCTTTGACAGTCTGGAGGATTGACTGTCAGTCAGAATACCTTGCCTGAATTTTAATAGACTTGGGTTTCTCTCATCTTGCAGGTTTCTCATTGAAGATCTGGTGGGTCTTGACAATATTTCATACAGTTGTGCCAGAAAAAAAAAGAAGTGGGACTCCAATTTTTTACCTTTTTCAATAGTTTAGAAAACAGCGTTCCTTCCATATATTAAAGGAATACCTCTGTTTTGCAGCCCCAACAAGATTTTTGATTTTCCTAAATATTGGGAAATTCACTTTGAGTTCTTTTATCCTAGAGAGCACACTGTTGTTTTTAATACCTGTTATTAAAAAAAAAAAAAAAAAAATTACTCTCTTACAAAGCAAGGAAACACAATACAAAACTAAGCTTTAAAAATATATGTATAATATATTAAAATAAAATATTTTTCTTCTGAATTACTTACCTTTTCCAGAACTGAAATCTGTATAATTCTTAAGTCTGGTTAAAAAGCTGGAAAAAGAAATGGATGATTTTTCTCTGTTTTGTATTTTGCTTTTGAATTTAGTCTAATTCAGAAAGTAAGTAATATCTAATGCTATGCACTGCTTCACTGTCTTGCAACACATTCTTCTGCTTACACAGCTGCTAATTTGCTGGATTTATAAAGATTTYTCAAATATCTTTTCCAAACTTATTGTGAAGCAGAGGATTCATTGTACTGAAATACATTCCAAGAACATACGTGGTTCTTGATATTTAATTTAGCTTAATTTAATTTTCATAACATTTTGTGAATGTCTAGGAGCTATAAGCACGGCTTCTTTATATCTATCTCTCAAGAGACCTACATTAAGCTGTGTTTAAAACATGCATATGACTTAAAAAGGAACAATAAAAATTGTTTCCTATATTGGAAATAGCACACTATGAAATGACTGAGTGCTCTTCTAGAAAGGCTAGCCAACCCAGACTTAAAGACCAGTTATAATTACTGCATTAAAAGCACTAGATGCAGCAATAAACACATTTCCACGAATGCCATATATAATGCACTTGCATTAGGAACAATATTACTTAACTTCAAACAAGCCTTTGTCATCCAAAGAAATAATACTTAGAGCAAAAACTCAATTTAGTAACATTACTATTATTTAAATGATTTGAAAATGGCAAYGCTCAGAAAATGGATGAACGAATAGAAGGACAGGCAAACAAATGACAGGRCAGAGAAATCCTCAGAGAGAAAAGAACTTTGAAAAGTAAAAATATGAGGCAATTATTATCTAGGTATTAGCTGTCCACATCCATGCAATAATGTAGTATCAAGTCATGTCAAGTTTATATATACGCTCATGTGCACATATACATACGAAGATAATTTTGTGATCTCTGTATTTTCTACTAATTCGGTCATTGGCCATTTAATCAATAATTTTACTTCTGAAGCTGTAAACCCCTGTTTTCTTTTCATACAAGTACAATATCGTAAGGGCTTTTAGGTGAAAAATATCAAACTCCCTCCTACCTAATGAGCAGAATACTATTTCAAGTGTCTAGGAAGAGTTCAGTTTCCCTCCCTCTAACATGAAAAATTACATCCTAATAGGTGGTTGTTGTCCATTTAATTATTATTCTTGAAGATTACATCATATGCTAGCAAGTAAAACATCCAAACTAGAAATTTATAAGGAGATTATAATAAGAGATAACAGRATAATTTTAAAGATAAAACTCCTCCTTCATTTTAAAAAAACAATAAGTGCCTTTAGTCCAAATCTTGGAAGTGGACTTTGATTTTAGTGAGATGAGTGTTTGTCTAAAAGAAGATTTAGGCTTTCTCCAAATGAGAAGCATTTCTCATTTGAGATGAGATTTGATCTGAGAACTCCAAATGGACTGTTTTCAGAAGGACTTTCTTTTCCTCTGGACATATACAGTGTGCAAATACTTTTATGAAGACATAAGAAAAAATGACCTTCTGACTCCATAGTTCAAAATGAGTCATGCATCACTTAGAGTAGTTAGAATGAGTCATATATTACATTCAGGAGACTGTGGGCAAGCAGTGCTTAGCATGCAAATACATCGATTCATTGGGAGAAATTCACCTGGCAAAAACTAATTTATTTTGAAAATTTCGTACGGTCTGGATGTAGCTGCTTTAATAAACAATCAAAAAAGGAATGATTTCATTGAACRTTGTCACTATTTGATATAGGTTTCCCACCACCAAAGGGGATTTCTGTGCATCAGGCAGCTTATTGCTTTTTGCCGTGCTCACGAGCACACACAGACACACACATAGAGACAGACTCAAACTTGATGAGAAAATCATCCTGTGTTTTATATGTATGTTGCTAGAAAATATTCTACGTCCCTGTGGGCTGATTGAGCAAGAGAAAAGAAAAATATTGCCAAGCTTGGAGGGTTCCTGTGCAAGCACCAGCGGTAATAAAGCAGGGTATGAAACCCCGTGGGGTATGGCATCCCATCCCATGCAGCCTGGTCCGGCCCTGTGACCAGCGGCACAGCAGCTCCCCGGCTGCTTTATGGACTCACAATTCCCCTGCAATGCTCCAGCCAGCTAAAAACCTTAAATAAAATTGGAAAGAACAGCAAAGACGAGTCAGCGGTAGGGTAGCTCTTCACCGTTCATCAGCTCTTGTGAAGGGGAACTATGGATGTTGTGGCTGTGATGCTGGCCCCTGTGACCAGGCACCCGTGTGGGGGGCTCAGGCATTCAGAGGCTGTCTCTCAAGCTCCTTCCTTACTTCAGATCCTTGGCAAGGCCTTGGAGCTAGGATTTCCCAGAGGTGATGGTTAGAAACTGAGTGACTCTCCAGCTGCTTATCTGTAAAACAAGTTAGCATCATTCCACACTACTTGAGTGCTGCACAAGCAGCACTGACCCCTCACCCGTTCGACAGCCTCAGGTTCCAGGAACCATCGCACTTTCGGAACCACAAGTGCACGGGAGACTCTCGCTCTCCCTTACTGTGGCAGAGAGCAAAGGTGCATCTCTCCCCATGCAGAGATCCTGCGTGGCCCCTCCAAACCATGCGCGCCTTGCCTCCCGCATGGATTTCTGATGCCTCTGTAGATTACTCACTTGCCTGGTCTGGAGAGCTTCCCTTTATTCCCAGCTGCCTGCATGCGAGTAGCAGCAAGGTTTACGCTCCTGCCACTGCAGATTAAACCCTCCTGCTTCTGTATTGCCAGACTATTCTCCATTCAGTCCTGATATGCCAATACTGGTTTTAGCTTACTCTTCATTTTCATTACGTGGCCCGTATATCCTAGGCGTACATTTACCAGCCCTGTCATCTAGATGTGCCTTTTACAGAGCCTGTTTCAAATCAAGTGTCACCCTCTCACAATGCTCCATATAGAGGAGCATTGTACCCAACTGTAATCCACTTTCTGCAGACAGGAAACACAATTACTACATAAACACAGAAAGAGAAAAGACAAGAACAAAGTTCTCCTCCTATGGGCCATATGGCATTAGGCAGTGTTTTTCCAGAGATTTTCTTAGTGATAACAAGTAAAAGTTGTTATTGAGGAACGCTGTCCAGATGGCATCATTACCAGCGGAGAGGAAGCCACACGTGACCTTTTTTTTTTTCATTGGCGTATTTTATTTTGGAAATATTATCCTAACAAAGCAATACTTCTTTCTCCATGTAGTCAGTTGCACCAGCATATGCACTGGTCCTTTAATCAGGGTTTCTAGCTGTCTATGAGATTAATGTGCATAGGGCCTTAGCATACAAATGCCTTTTTATTTATTAAAAACATGTTTCTTTCACATTTTTGTTTATTCTTATTGAATATCACCAATGTTAAAAAGCCTTGAGTAGCTCTACAGCAGTTGCATAAAAATGACTTTTCATCGCTATTAATACATTTCTCTAAGTACAAGAGAATATTTTGATTTTATAGAGGATTATAAGATCATAGCCTAAGACTATTTTTTCGATAAAGTAAATAATTTCATGTGAATAAAAAAATTAAATGTCCAATAGCAATATTAAGTATGGCAAATATACAATTTAAATGGCCAGGTATAATCAAATAATATTTTACAAATGTTAATTTTACCTTAATTGAACTTCATTTTCAAAATTCACAGGAAAACRAAAGGATAAGTTATACATAATTTCCTCAAAATCAATATTTTAGTGAAAACTAAAGCTTCTGGATCAATATTTTTGTCTGTTAGGATTTGATTTATTACAACATGTCACACGGATTAAAGTTTTCTGACTTATTGATGCAGCATTTCTCAATGATTGGGATGGCATATGATAAAAAGATCTTTTCCACCCATTTGGGCTACCACAGAAAGACAATCAAGGTGTTGTGGTACCTTTCAAATCTGGGAGTACATCTTTCCCAGCGTATCACTGTCCATACGCGGTCCAGAGTTTACCCTATCCAGGTCTAAAACTCATGTGCACAGAGCTCACCAGGGCTGGTCTGTAGATTATTGGTCAGTTCAGGTTGGGAAGAAAAGTAATTTCAAGAAGCCAAAATTGGTCTCCTAAATCATCCTTGATCTCTCTTTTTTTTTTTTTTTTTTTTTTTTTTTTTTTTTTTTTTTTAGAAATAAAAAAGAACACACAGCAACAACAAAAACTTTTTAATTTCTTAATGCTGTTTACTGCAGGCTAGCAAAGATGATTAATATTTCAAGCACATTTCTGAGGCTACAGAATTTGTGTGATAAAGGAATTAATCCCACCTTTGGCTCATTTTGGAAAAAGAGAGACGGTGACTGACTGCTTTTAACTTTCACTTGAAAGCAGCTCATTCCCCTCCTTTACGCACTATCAGCAAAACATCTCCTCCACACTAATCGCTAATGCTCATGATGTTTTTTCATCAGGAGCATAAGATATAAATACCATTTACCAAAGTGTGACAGTTTCTCCAAATACTTGCCCCCTTTAATCTTTTCCACATTTTCATTTTTCTTCCTCACTATCCATTTGCTCTTAATCTGCTCTTTATGCTCTCATCCAGGTAATACCCAAATAGGTGGTTTGATATATACTCACCTTCTTTATTATATTACATTCATGCTATTTTTAACACAACTGGTTGAAGAGGACTGACCTAGATATTTGAAAGTTTTCTTCTTATTAATTTGCATTAAGACAATTACCTTGCATTATGCATTAAAAAAAAATCATAAATTCAATTTAATGGTAAACCTAATAGTAAATGGTAAAGTTAAATGTAATGGTAAATGTAAACCTACTTCTTGATAGTGTGTGACCAATGCACAGTGAAATTCTAGGATTTAGCGACCAAGATTTTAGTTTTCCTTATTTA